TGTGCATTGGGTTCTTCCGTCCTAAGTGCAGGACCCTGCACTTATCCTTATTGAACATCATCAGATTTCTTTTGGCCCAATCCTCCAATTTGTCTAGGTCCCTCTGTATCCTATCCCTACCCTCCAGCGTATCTACCACTCCTCCCAGTTTAGTATCATCTTCAAATTTGCTGAGAGTGCAATCCACACCATCTTCCAGATCATTTATGAAGATATTGAACAAAACCGGGCCCAGGACCGACCCCTGGGGCACTCCACTTGACACCGGCTGCCAACTAGACATGGAGCCATTGATCACTACCCGTTGAGCCCGACAATCTAGCCAACTTTCTACCCACCTTATAGTGCATTCATCCAGCCCATACTACTTTAACTTGCTGACAAGAAAACTGTGGGAGACCGTGTCAAAAGCTTTGCTAAAGTCAAGAAACAACACATCCACTGCTTTCCCTTCATCCACAGAACCAGTAATCTCATCATAGAAGGCGATTAGATTAGTCAGGCATGACCTTCCCTTGGTGAATCCATGCTGACTGTTCCTGATCACTTTCCTCTCATGTAAGTGCTTCAGGATTGATTCTTTGAGGACCTGCTCCATGATTTTTCCGGGGACTGAGGTGAGGCTGACTGGCCTGTAGTTCCCAGGATCCTCCTCCTTCCCTTTTTTAAAGATTGGCACTACATTAGCCTTTTTCCAGTCATCCGGGACTTCCCCCGTTCGCCACGAGTTTTCAAAGATAATGGCCAATGGCTCTGCAATCACAGCCGCCAATTCCTTTAGCACTCTCGGATACAACTCGTCCGGCCCCATGGACTTGTGCACGTCCAGCTTTTCTAAATAGTCCCTAACCACCTCTTTCTCCACAGAGGGCTGGCCATCTACTCCCCATGTTGTGATGCCCAGCGCAGCAGTCTGGATCACTGCATTGCAGTGTCACTGCATTGCAGGAGACAGTCCCCCATCTTCTCCAGGTGGCCAGCCCTTCTTCATTTCTAGATGCAGGACCTTGCCTTTGGCCACATTAAAACATGTTCAAATGAGCCCTCGCCCCGAGTGATCCAGATCTTTCCATAGAATTGACCTGTCCCAATCAATATTTACCACTCCCTCAGTTTTTGTGCCATCTGCGAGTTTGTATCCTGATCGTACAGAGAAACTGAGGCACGATGAAGGAAGGAATTCGCCCAAAGTCACACAGTAAGTCAGTGGCAGGGCTGGGCATGGAACCCATCCTCTCTGCTCTAAGTACTAGACCATACCACTTCCCGAAGCAAGGGCTAGAACCCTGGACTTTAGGGTCCCAACCTCGGATCTAACCCCTAATCATTACCACTAATATTAGGCAGCTTTCTACACAGATGCATTGTAAAGCTTCCAACATCCCTGCAGCTGCTCCGCCCAGGGGTTTAGTGCAGGTGCAAGTGGCTTTATGCTTAACTAGGAACCAGGACTGCTGACTGGAGGATACTACCCCCACTCCCATTTAAAAAATACCAATAGAGGAGGAGACCTTGGGTCTATCAACAGAAGCCATCTTTGTGCACGGATGCTCTGCAGTTGCTGGGAGTATTAAGTCCCCACTCAGCACACTGAGAACACAGACCGCACTGGAGAGTCGGTGCCAGGAACAGCCAGAAAGGCACACAAGGCTCAGACAAAAAGAGGGATTGAATGGTGGGACTATTTAAAGGGCCTGCTATTTCTAAAAGCTGCTTTTCCTGTTCCCCTTCCTGACCAGTGCAGGGTGCTGCCTCCCAGGAGCATTTAAAAAAACAAAATACAAAAAACCAACCCTCAGAAAACACGACATCTTAATGAAGTTGTTAAACGCCATTTGGAACGTTTCCCTCCCACCCCCAGGCCTTCAGCCCTGCCTGTCACTGCGTCCAAGGCCAACTGGAATGGCTGAGCTCCGAGGATCACATGACAAATGGATTAGCTTCCGAGGCACAGAGGCACTGCTCTCCCTGGCCCACTGCTCCTCCCAGGCCTTAAGCGCCCACCCTGGGGGGGGCGGGGGGGAGAGAGGAGGGAGGCAGTCCCTAAGAAAATGACAGATTTACCTGCCAAGGAGACCCAGATTAGGAGCTGGGCAAACCACTCCCTTCTCAATCATTCCTAATGCTGTTCTGAGCTATTTTAAAACCATTCCCCTGCTTTAAAAAAACCTCCAGCCTTTGTGGGCCCTTCAAGAGCAACTGTTTTTAATGAGCAAAACTAGCGCCAGGTGTTCTATAATCTCTCTCCCCAGCTGAGACCTCAGGCCAATGTTTTAGCAGACAGTCTGCAGAAGGCCTTGAACTGGGAGGGAGGGGAAGGGAGAAACCTCGGAGCAGCACAGACCCGGAGCACCTGGCCTTGCTATTCCATATTTCACTCCTCACCCCACACACATGTACACGCAAACAAAATCCTGCACTGTTGGCAACTGGTTTAAAAAAAAAAAAAGAAAGAAAATCAATGGCCCTGCTTTTTTGTGCATTATTTATGCAACAGCTAGTGCTCATCTGTTCTAATTCCCCTCTCTGGGGGTAGATTCCCCCCACACACACCCCAAAGCTGTGCTCACATGGAAGATCAATGCTAATTGTTGACATGATTCCCAGCTTGTGCTGACAAGGGAGTGGGGATTGAACCCTGGTATATGCAACAGGATCTACCAGCTTAGCCTTGTGTTTGGGGCACATCTGCCATCACAGCAAAGAGCTCCTTGCTTTGCCAAACATGCAATTGCAAATGGTCGGCAACAATGGGGCGCTGAACGCTCTACAGAGCAGGTACCTGGATTCTGCGGTGAAGGCAGATCATTCAGATCAAAGGGAAGTGCTATGTTTATTTTAAGACCAAGGAAGTTTTAACAAGTTTTCACGAAAGCTGGCATGAAGAGATGCGGCTTTGGATTGAAACCTTCCCTCACAGTTTGCAAGAGTTGGGAATGTTCTGACTGCTCTAACCATTCAATCTCTCTGCTCTCCAGAAACAGCAAGAGAACACGAGTGAGATGCAAAAGGCTGTTTTAGTGGGTTCCCCCCCCCCCCTGCAAAAAGGGAATCTACAGGATGCAGTAAGATCGGAGATTTTGAACACTCCAGCCTTGAGAAGCAGAATATGAAACTGACAAAGAAAAATCACGTGAAATTGAACAGTATAAATTTTACTGCCCAAGTTGAGTGAAGTACAAGAATTAAACAAGATCTCCAGAAGAGAAGATTTTTTTAAAAGTTATTAACCTGATAGCACCCCAAAAAGAAGAAAAAAATCAGTTGTTCAATAAAGACAGGTTGCAGCTGTGAATTTATTAGAGAACTATAGTTTTATCCCACATCTGAGTGTGTGTATATTTTGGGGGCTTTCCTCCTCTCTAGAGGAACCTGCATTTCTAAATAGCATTTTCCTCTGAAACAAAGACTTTGCATGTACACAGCATTGTTAAGATCTCAAGCACTTGACAAGGTTGGGTATTATCTCCCATTTTACAGATGGGGAAATTGAGGCAATGGGAGGGAAAGTGATCAAACAGTGAGTCAATCAATGGCTGAGTACAGAGTAGGATTTAAAAGGCATGGTATTACCTAAACCACATCAACCCTCAATTTTTTAGAACAAGAGAGTGTATACTTTAAACTGCTCAAGTCAAAAGCCTGAGTTAATTTGATCCGTTTAGCATATGTTAAAGTGAACGCTGTCTTGTCCACACTGGACTTTTACAGCATGGTAGCTAACGTGTGGTACTGTAAAACCTAACACAGAAAGAGCCGGGAGCAGAACACAGATGTCTCGACACCTCGGCCTAGAATACTTTCAAAAGTTTTACCAGCATAGCTGTCGGGGGGGGGGCGGGGGAGGGAGGGATGATTTTTTTTTTTCAAACTGACACAGCTATCCGGAAAAGCCCTAGTGAAGGCAAATGTTATATCACTAAAAAAAGTGTTGTATCAATATAGCTTATGCTGATGTAAGCACATTTATACCAACAGAACTGTGTCCACAGTAGAGGCTATTGCTGGTATAGCTCCGTGTAGACAAAGCCCTCGTCTCCAGCTCTGACGACTAGACCATGTTGCTTCTATTGCATTACTCAATGACTCTCACTTCATTGGCAGGCACTGCAAATCTCATACCTGTTCTTGAGCCATATTTTCCTCTCTCTGCCAACTAAAGCATTCCAAGCTTTCTGCGTTATGCCACACCTAGGTTGTCTTCTCTGGGAACACAGCATTGACTTATGAGCCTATTTCTTCCTGCCGGACAACTTCTAAAGATCTCCAACTTCAAAGTTCTTCCCTCCCCACTTTGCTCTGTTTGGGCACTATAATTATTTTTGCTAAGATAGAAAGCAGAAAGAGATCCAGCTGAGCTTTGGAGGAGAGACACCGTTTATAAACAACCTTGTGCATCTCGAGTGTTTTTAATTTGGGGATTTACAAACATTAAGTCTCACAAGCCATGTAGGAGCAGAGGAATATTACACCCCATTTAAGGATTGGGAAACTGAGGCACAAAGTGGGAACTGACTTGCCCAAGATCAAAACAAGTCAGGGACAGAGCTGGGTACAAAACCCAGATCCCAGTTCCCCTGCTTTGACCAACAGAGAAGAGTCTTAACTGAAATTTATCAGGGCACCTTCAATGCCAGGCATGGAGTCATGGTGAACCACGCTCACTTGCTGTTCAGCTAAGGGGGACCTGCGTCTTTGTTCTGTAGAGCACCGCGCACACTTCAGGTGGCATATAAGCGATGCCACATCTACACAATTCTCCAAATTCACTCACAGCTTCCCCCAGTGATACACCCCCGTTTGTTTGGCAACCTATTTCAAAACCACAGCACCTATGCCAAAAATCCCTGCAGCCGAGAGGTTTCCAATACACTGCATTTCTTGCTTTCGGCCTTCCTGATCTCATCCGAGTTTGCTTATCTAGCAAATCTTCAGCAGTGTGATTTGCCAACTCAGTCACCCTTCAGTTTCCAGAGCCAGACACCCGATGCAGTACTAACCTGCTAGAAGGGAGCTCCGTGGAGGAGTGCAGCGGGCCGGGGAGCAGGCTCGGGTTTCACATGGAGGAAAGGGATGATAGAAAGCCACACTGGTTAAACAAGCAGCAGCAACACGTTCTACGCCCAGCGTGACATCATGAGGTCAGGGCTCAGCAGGGACAGCTGCAGTGGGAGGGGAGGTTCAGCAAAACAAGCCCCGAACTCCTTGGCGGCTGCAGCTGGCCTTTTGGGAGGATGGCTTTGGCTAGGAAGCGCGGTTTAAGGCAGCAGCTACCCATCTGATGCTCGGTGCAGAGGCGCAAATCCTAGGCCCCTCCACTGCCACCCTCTCTGCCTTGCCCCCAGCAACATCGACTAATTCGTGGGAGGAGCGCCACCTCCCTTGCCATCTGCCAGGGCTGGGATCAGGAGCTCACCGAGTCCATCCTGACGCAGCCTGGCAGGTTCATCACCACACTGAGGGGGAGGGGGACACAGGTATTCCAGGTCTCTTGGCTTCAGATTCTGTTCATCAAACCAGGGGGACAGCACCAGGAAAAGGGGGGAGATGGGGGAAGACAGGCAGCAATCACGGCATACACCGCTGGACTCCTGGGTTCCATTCCCAGCTAGCAAGGATTTTATCCTGCCGCCCATCACCACAGCATCTGTGCGCTGCCCGCGTCAAACCGCCAGCAGTAATGAAGTCCCTAGTGGTCTTTATCGAGTTCCCCCAGCTCTGCTCCTTGTTCAGGGTGAAATCCCGGCTGGGTTTGGGGCAGGGGCTGTGCATGTGCTGGTTGCTTTGTTTGTGCCAGGTTTATCGAAGGCGGGGGTGGGGTGGGTAGATATGGGCGTTAGTGCTGAGATGGTCATTCTTGCCGTGAGGAAAGGCTTTACCAAAGAGGAAGGTTTGGCAGCATTTCCTAAAAGATGGTCAGATTCTGGATTCGCTGCGGTAGGTTAGGTTACACAATAGTCAGAATGTTTGTGTTCTGTTCCCCAGCTCTGCCCCGCTTCGCTGGGCAACCCTGAGCCAATACCATCACCGCTGTGCCTCAGTTTCCCCACTTCTAACATCAGAGCCTCACATGGAGGTCATGGGCTTTCAAATGCTTTGAGATCCCTGGATAAACAATGCTAGAGAAGGGCAAAGCAGTGTGTAACCCAGATTTCAGAGTAGCAGCCATGTTAGCCTGTATTCGCAAAAAGAAAAGGAGGACTTGTGGCACCTTAGAGACTAACCAATTTATTTGAGCATAAGCTTTCGTGAGGGTAGAAATACAGGAGTGAGAGATTTTGGTGTTAGAACCACAAACCCATGGCAATGTCTCATCAGCACGGTGCAAAACCCACGCTGAAAGAGTGGGTGGGCAGAAGTGCTGCTAGACAGACATTGTGCTAAAAGATTCCTAGATGTCTTGCAGGAAAAACAAATGTTAGCAGCATCCCCAAAGGCATAAGCTGGCCCCTAGTCACCTTGATGGGCAGTATTAAGCCTCAAGAGGCTAGTTAAAATGCGGGCATTGTTATCTTACCTCTATGACAAAGCAACTCAGCAAGTGTCCAGGTGCTTTTATAAGCTGTGACCTCTATGCCAAGCCCCTGGCTCTTCCTGCATTGATGGAAAACACAAAGGCACAAAAGACCTGGAGTTCCCCTACTTTTGGGGTTAACCTGCAATTTCCTTTTTCTTCAAACACTAAAGTTATTCTGAAGAAGAGCTCTGTAAGCTCAACAGCTGGGCCAGTCATCAAAGATATTCCCTCCCCCACCTTGTCTCTCCAATATCCTGGCATCAACACTGCAAACAACAGGGAAAGCTTTAACAGTGATACTGAGCTCAAACCCCTTATAGGCATTAAGGGATGAAAGCCTCAACCCTGAGAGATAGGGAAGAATCATTCCCATTTCATAGATGGGGAAACTGAGGCATGGTGATGTGACAAAGGACACATGGCAAGCAAATAGCAACACTCCAAACAGAACCCAGGAGTCCTGACTCCTTGCTCTGTGTTCCAAATCAGTTTCTTGTACTCTCTGGCCCCAGCTACCCAATAAATCAAGCCCAAAAGATATAGTCAGGTCCTGTCCCCAACCATGACAAAGCAGAGGGTGAAGCTCTTGCTGCTAACTCAATACAAAATTCATAATCGAATTGTCGCCCTTAAAAGACGCTGGGCACCTGCTCTGTGAGGCGTGACTTCCATGTGCTAAGTATGACTACCAGCTGTTTCATGGGCTACTGCTGATCCACGTGGTCATTTCCAGTGAGGTACAGATGTCTCCCCCACCACCTCCCAACAAATGAAACAGACCCGGAGAGACACACTGAGCTTTCCACAAAAAGCTCACCCCTGGGCTGAGACCAAATGAGGAAAGGATCAGCCCCAGAGGAGAAGGTGTCAGAACAGCATGAACAGATCGGAACTGAGCTCTCTCTGTATGCTGGAGAGGGGCTGTTTGGGGCAGGGCTAGGAGGGCTTCAAAGATGGTTTTTCAAGTGGTGGAAAGTCTCCATCCCCAGGTGTTTCCAAAGCCAAGCTACAAAAATGGCCAGCAAGGGGACCCAGTTGAGGAGCATTTGGGGGGTACAGGATATAAGTCAGTGGCAAGGACATAGCTACATTTGCCCTGAATCTCTGGGCGTTTGTAGCTTACAGAACATAAGCGTACATGGCTCCCAACAAAGTCTGTTATTGTTGAAACGGTTTCCTGACATGGAGATGATCAGATAAGCGACTGTCTGACAAGGGACTGTTTGTAAGGAATGCCTCAAGGCCGCACCTAATGTGCTGGTGCGCCTCCCAGCAGATGGGCAAGCGACCGAGCGCTCCTCAGAGTCCCAGCTCTGCAGACCCCAGCACGTGCTGCTGCTGACCTCACCCAGACAGGGCACCAGGGGCACGTTCACTCCCTTCCTCTGGTATCTGGACCAGCTCCAGATTCGTTTCAGGAGCCTCTTCCGCCTCGGTTTTAAATCCCTCTGTAGATTAGCACTAGCTAACCACTCTGATCCACTCTCTCTATGCTCCTCCCTGTTTGCCTAGCCATAATCTACCCTTTGTTGGTGCAACAGCCTTCTCCTATGCATCTCCTGCCATCTGAGACACGTCCCCTGAACCCCTCTACCACAACCTCGCTGTTTTCTCTGAATTTCTCCTAATTCCTCCCCTGTTCTCCACCTGCTGTGCAGCTAGCCAAGATTAACGTCTTTGTCCCTTCTGACGTCGAGCCTATTGCCACCCAGCACTTGCATGATTTTGGTGGGGTTGCTCTTTTCCCTACTGTCCTTGGAACACCCTGTCTCCACATCAGCAACTGAGGCAGGAAGGAGGACAGGTAACCACAGTGCTCCCCAAGAACGGTCTGGTCAGAATTCCAACCTCCCACCGGATTCATTCCGGATAGGGGTGTTTTACAGCACAGCCAAGAAGAAATAAAAGCAGCAGCTAACATCTAAAACCCTGCGAGGTGTAGCTTGGCCTCTCCACAGCGTCAGTTTCAGAAAATTATTAATTTACCCTGGTGGAATTCATGGCTGGCCACTCGCTCAGCGAGGACAACCCGGTACTTCATAGAATCAGTTCCCTTGTGTCCATTTATCTTGGGAAATGGACCCTTATCTATTCCCTGCCCTCATGCCTTCCTGTCTCTGGAGTGCTCAGGGATGGCTCCTTTCACCTCTCCAGGGGGCCAGGTAGGAAACAATACTCGGCCACACCTATTGATTGGACGTTTGAAGCCATCCGGGGTTGTTTCCCCCTCCCTCCCCAGGCAGGGGTGAGTGATTGGAACTTGGCCATTATGCACGTCTCTTTGTGCAGCTCCCCCCAGCACAGACACGCACCCTACAGCAATGGAAGTTGACAGCCTACACCACCTCCCCGAGCGGTAGTAGCTAAGGCGACAGCAGGGGTTAGGCTGGCTTTGCTCCCGCGCTCGGGGGTCTGGAATCTTCACACTCCGGAGCGCCGGAGCTATGGCGACCTAAGAGCAGCCCAGGCCTAAAACTTGTAAGGACTTTCAAAGGCCACTCCCCTGTGAGGCAGAATCTGAATACAGTTGGCTGGCCTGCACGGAGACCAGACAGAGGGGCTTGTGTACATGGGGACGTTATTCTGGAATAAGGTAGGGTGTCCATTTAAAGCATGAAAGCTATTCTGAAATTAAAATGGCCACGTGTAGAGGTATTCTGGTCAGTTTCCGGTATAGTAAATCCGCCCACCACAAGGAAAACAAGCCACACCAGTAAGAGCATAGCTGTGTGCACACTAAGCTCTACAGGCTTCCGCTGACACAGCCATGCTGGTCAGGGATCCCACCTCTTCATAGCCCACATAGCTGGGCCGGCAGAAGTCTGTAGTATAGACACAGTTTAACACGGGTGATACTCAGACCTCAGTGGTTCTGGAGCCAAATTAGTGATCAACGTTACCCATATATAAATAAATAAAATAATACTTGGTCCGAATTTTATCGACTACAATTGGTTAACAACCCAGTAAACGCATCCTGATTGGTTGGTAACTTAGACTGGTTGAGAAATAAATCACACAGCCTTTTAACATGTGCTGCAAAGAGCTGCAGGAGACCCATTAAAGAGCCACCTGCGGCTCAGTCCGAGTATCACTGGTCTACAGTCTGATTTAGGCCTAAAACGTAGACCAGCATAGCTATGCCGACCAGGGGTGTGATTTTTTTTGCTAACACAGCTATGCCAGTACAAGCCCTAGTGTAGACACACTTATAGCAGCATAAACCTGCTTTTGCTGGTATAGTTTGTCTCTTGAGCCTAATCACACCACAACATTTTGCTGGCACAGCTGCAACAGCTAGGAGAGGCTTGGTCTACACTACAGAGTTAGGTCGATGTAAAGCACCTTACGTCGACCTAATTACGTCAGCGTACGTACAACAGCCTTGCTCCCATCGATGTCAGTGCCCTACACACCGACATCACAACTCCGCCTCCACAAGGGGCGTAGGCCTTATGTCAGCGTAGTTAAGGTGACGCAGGGCCCGTGTAGACACTGCAGGTCGAGCTCTTGGCTGTCACTCTCTCCCGGCTGCTCAGCAGCCTGTGTGGAATGCGTACGGCCAAATCGCAGTCCCGCTCCTAGTGAACGGGGATCCATGTCGCAAGCACTTCTGGCGCTAACTGGCCCCCCTGTTGGCAGATTCAGCAGAGAGGGTGAGGACTGAACAGGCCAGAGGGGTTAAACTCTTTCTCGCATAGGGGTGGCCCCTCCAGATCGAGCAATGGCAGACGGGCAGAGGATAAACAGAGGCATTCCATCTGCAAAGCTGACAATGATGCAACACCTTCTGCTGGCCATGAACTCTCAGCCACACTCAGGATTTCGAGGCAGAGCTAATGGTCAAGGCTAAATTACCTTACAGGGCCACGGGAGTGTTTTTGGAGGAAGGAGCCAGGGGGCTCGCTCATTATAATTACTGTTCTCCTGTGTTTCCAGGTCCTTTCATTCAACCCTGCAGCCCATCAGCATCTCTGCTCAGGGAATCGAGATCTGCAGCATCTAATGGTTTGCCCATCATCCAAGGAGCCCAGGAATTAAGTTTCACAACCCTCTTTACAGACAGAGAAATGGAGGCTGCGAGAGGCGGAAGTGACTTACTTAAGGTCACACAGCGAGTCAAGGCAGAGGCTAGGAAGAGAACCCAGGAATCCTAGTCCCCAGTCCCTTCACTAGCAGACAGCTCTTATAACATTGCGCCGTGACAGATGGGAAGATTCCACCCTACTCGGTTACTCACCTGCGCAGGTGCCTCAACACGGGCCTTTCCTAACAGCCTCACTCATCAGAAAGATACAGCTAACCCAGCTTACAACCATCTCAGACCAAGTGGAGCCCCATTTATTCTGACCAAAGCTAAGCCACTTCCCCTCTCTGTGCCTCCATTTCCCCCCATCTGCGAAATGGGAACAATACTCTTCGATCGCTGTAAGGCGCTTTGAACTCTGTGGAGGAAAAGCAACTATGTTACAGGCCTCTAGTTAGAGGGACACCTCTGCAGACACTAACAAACGGCTTCTCAACAGTGATCGGGACCAGAAAAGGACCGAAGCTAAACATATGCCTGCCTGAAGATTTTGTACCTGCTATTTTTTTTTAAACAAGCCAGACTTAAGATCACGGTAAGAAATAAGTAACAAAATCCCTCTGTTTTTCCAGGTGTTTCCTTTGTGCATTTAACAGCACTTGTTTGTGCTTTTCCCCCTGTGTGTTAATAAGCATTCTGATTATACAGGATTAACAGGAAAACTAGGCACAATTTCCCCTTTTGCTTGTGTAGGTGCTGCTGTGGGAAGGCGAGAGAGGAGAGAACAATATTTAAAAATAAAGAAATAAGGAAGTGTGGCTGTAACAGCACTAACTGACAGGAGGACCGAGGGGCAGATATAATCCCTGAAATCATCTTAGCTTATTTTTAAAAACTGACGAGAGCTCCCAATGGCAGCACACTTTAAAAAAATCACTCCAACTTCTGAAACCAAATCTAGGAGTGGAACCCAGCGGTCCTGATGCCCAGTCCCCTTCGCCCATCAGTAGACAACACTGTTTTTCCTGGATCCACACCCAGCGTACAGATTCCACCCCAGGAAATTAACTACTGATGCAGGTGTTCTAAGAATTCCAACATGAACCATTTTATAATACTTAGAACTGTTGTACGAAGCTTGGGTAAGTTCCATTCTCCCCATGGAGCAAGCAGGGAATCCAGGGAACAACGCAAGACAGCAATAAATTGAAATGAGAACCTGACTTGCAGTCCTGTACTCCATCCACTAGCAGATCACAGCTGCCCTTGCAGGGGGGAAGACATAAAAACCCGACTAGAGGCTGGTTAGTGATTAAATTCCCATAGGTTTAACAGAATTAAGTCTCTACCATCTGCTAATTTCTGGAGACACCAAACAAACAAGTGGTGGCTTAGATCCAGGGCTGCTTAGAATTTGGCCAGCCTGGAAAATGAAGTTTTTAAACATTGGCAGGCTTTTGTTGAGGTTGTTTTTAACACAAACTGGTCTCAACGTCAACACGAGGTGAAAGAAGTGATTCTGTTAAACAAAACAAAACCCTACAGAGTCCGAGTAATGGGCAGCCTGAGGTGGAAAAAGAGATCCCATGGGGCAATACTTTGCGGCGTACACTCTGCACTCGGGGCAGCGTCTACCCTAAAGGGTTCTGCCAGCGCAGCTCGGTCAGGCAGGGGTGTGAAGAGTGAGATCTCGGACTGATAAAGCTACGCTGGCAGCCCAGCACTAGTAGAGACACAGCCTGTTTGCCAGGGTAGCGTATTTCACTCTGCGGGCTGGAATAGGCTACGAGTGCAGTTTTGCTGGTATAAACTTCGAACGCACTAAGAGCACTTTGCTGGTTTAGTACACCAGTATACCTACACTAGCAAAGCACTCCTGGCATAGACAAGGCCTACACGGTGTCCTCATTTGGATAATTCACTGAGATCTATGCAAGCACTAAGCATTACAACTCCCACCCCCAGTGTTGTTTCCATTTTACAGGTCGGGAACTAAGGCCCGGAATCTAGAACTGACTTACCCCAAGGTCACAGTGCCGGGACTTGTCTACTCTAGGAATGTGCCCTGATTTCACACATCAGGGGTTAGCACTGATGCTACTGCACAGGTGTAGACAGGGGAAGCTGCGTCAAGCTATAATTTGCATTTGCGCTCATTTAGCCAGCCGTCAAGTTGCACAGAGGCAAGTCGCACCTCAGCCTGACATTGCCACACATGCAGCAGGCATCGAGACAATTCCCCAGTGCAGGTAAGGCCCGATTTTCCTGGCAGAGCAAGGAAGAAAAGCTACTGCTTCTAGTACCTCTAGGCAATGCTGTTTGGCGAGTAAGGCAGCGCCAGCGTAGCTACTGAACCAAGCCACCAGAACAGCACAAACAGGTTAAAATGAACATTTGTTGTTTTATGAAGCAATGTGTTTTATTACATTCTTCTCCAGTAGTGGCCTAGAGACTTCAATCACCACTTTGCTAAGCGTTCTATATACACGTGGTATGAGACAGAAGCTACCCCAAAGAGCCTGCAATCCAAGCAAGACAAAAGGTGGGAGGAAAGGAAATATCCCCATTTTCCAGATGGGAAATTGAGGCACAAAGAGATGAAGCGACTTACCAGAGGGTCAATGATAGAGTCAGCAATTGAACCCCCTTGTATTTCAATGTTTTAACCACGGGGCAACGGAGTCTTCCCAGACCTGGAAGGCTGCAAACCCCATTACCATCTACTGGTGCATTTCTAACATACCCTCACCAGCTCATCTGGTGCCAAATACAGCACCTAAATTGATGTTCTGAGATTTCTAGAGGACCCCACTGTTATCTTTATGCCAACAGAATTTCATGCTATTTTCACCACATTAAGTTTTACAATGTATGTTTCAAACTCAGCCAGGATCTCTCCTTTCATTCCAACACTGGAAACAGATGATCTTACACATATACTGCAATGCCAAGAGGGAAAAGGAAGGAGATACGTAGTTCTCTCACTCTAGACCCACACACCAGTGACCCTGTGCCATAAATGCACACAGCTTCTATTAGTACATTAATATTTTTACAGTATCCAAAAGTGTGTTTAGATGATTTCCAGTACAAATAAATTAAAGCCTGCAAAACATATTGAAAGGGACGATTTTACATTAGCAATAACAGAGATTAAAATAGATGACCTAGAAGAATTTCAGAAATCAGAGATGGATGAGATCAAGGAAACTGTATAAGGTCCCCGTCCTTGCAAAATGCTGAACGAACAATGAAAGACCTGCACCGCACAAAATTAGGCCCCTAAAAGGAACAAAAAACAACACATCAGCATCAGAAAAACCAGCTATTTGGGTGATTTTCTGAAATGCTTCCACCATTGCTAACAAAGAGCGTGATGCTACAATCAGCTGCAGGCAGACACCTGCATCTTTGCAGAGCCCTACAGGTTTCACTTGGTCTCCATGCAAAAGTAAGGGCCCTCATACACAGCTGAGACTGCAGGATTAAGGCCAAAGGTGAAAGCACAGGTATAGCTCACTGGTGTTTATACCACTGTCCTCTACACCAGAATAGGAAGACAGTGGTAAAAACCTCTGCACATCTGATCTATGCTAACAACAGTGGGACTGTATTATAGAATAGACAGGCAATTTTTCACACACTCAAAGAACAGACAGGGCCAGCAGTCGCTGATGACACAGGTTAAATCCTGGGACACTGCTTAGATCAGATACAACCTAAACATCAGAAGAAAGCAGATCTTACTTACACCCCACAGTTCACTACAGAGAGAATTAATTCTGTTTAAAAACCTGATCATCTTCCCACAAACAACTTAATTTTACAGAACCACAAGACTGCCCTGCAAAATGATTCCACAGAGACATAGACTAGCAAAGAAGAGGCTTTCAGGGGGAAGATGCCCAGGAGGCGGTAACTGGTCTGAAGCAAACCACCAAACGCCCAGGCTGTCTAACAACCCTTCCTCCTCACAAACAAAAGCCAAGAGGCCTCAAAAGGAAGTGACCGAAGCCCAGGATAGACTGTAGCAGACTGTAACAGTTACATTTTAATACTGTACACAACTTCCTTGCAGAACCCATCCCCCTCCCCACAAGGTTCAACCCTGATCCTCCATTACCTTGTATTCACACACCCCACACACAGAGTTTAGGAAATAAAAGGGTCTCAGAGCAGGACCACCTACCCCACCTCTTGTTTCCACTTCAGGAGTTTGAGGGGCTTTGTAGTGAGATACCCACAAGAGCTCAGGGGGTGGCCACAGAGGGGGCAGTCCCTGAGTGCCAGAGAACTCCTATTTGCTCCCACGGAGCTGGGGGGCAGGAGGGGGAGGGGAGAGGACACCTCAAATCCAGAATTCACTCTCCATAAATTGGTGACCCATAATGACATCACCCTTTAGTCACCTTCTCAATAGTCCAGGGTCCCAGAGAAATACCCCTTTATTCAAACAACCCTCCCCAGGCACTGGGGAGCCCAGGGAGATCCCAGGAATTGGGGAGTCCCACAAAACCCCCATTATTCATTTCCCCATTTGGGGGCACCTAGAGACCGACCTTAGTGACATATTCCTCCCCACGATTTGGGGGGGAAACCCATAAAACCCTCTTGTTCACCATCTCCATATTTGAGGAGGACCAGAGAGACACGCCACCTTATTCACACCCTCCTCCCCAGGAAACGAAGGGGCACCAGAGCCTCTTATTCACTCCCCATGTCTGGGGGTACCTAGAGAGACCCCTAAGAACCCAGGGGGGCTTGAGACCTCTTTTTTATTTTCCCCATTTGGGGGACTCTCTTATTCACACCTCTTCCCGGGGAATCGGGGGGGCCCTAAGGAGACCCCTTTTCTTTCCCTTCCCCTTTTGGGGGGTAGAGAAACACCCCTCCCCCTTACTCCCCACGCGCTGGGGGGCGGGGAGACCCCCCCCATGAATTGGGGGGGCCCACAATAAGATTTCCCCCTCATTCACCGCCTGCATTTAACGGGGTCCCCCCCAGGAATTGGGGTGGGAGCCCCCCTGCTCCAGGGCCGGCGAGAATCGCGGGGGGGCTCGGCCGGCGGGGGGGGGCTGCGGTGGCTCCGCAGCGTAGCGGGGGGGCTCGGCCGGGCCGGGGGGGCTCGGCAGGGGGCGGGGCGCCAGCGCAGGGGCAGGCGGGGGGTATTTACCGGCTGGCCCCTGGGCTCAGGCGGCTGCTGCGGCGGCTCCGCCCCGGCTGGCCGGGCGCTGCGGGGGAGGGTCCCGGCCCCAGCTCCAGTAGAAGCGAGCGGGGGCGCGGCTCCGATCCCAGCCCCAAGGCCCCTCTCCGGCTCCAGCTGCTTCTCAGCCACTTCCTGCTTCACCCTCCTCCCCCGCCCCCTGCCCGCTGGGGCTCGCTCCCCCTTACACCGACACCATTGGCAGGTGGGCCTGGCACTCAGGGGCTGTTCCCGCCCTCCTCCCTTTCCATTGGTTACTTTGTCTGTCACTCAAGGGCTTACCCCTCTTATCTCATTTCCCATTGGTTGGGAAACAAGCAACTCCGAGGCAGACCCGCCTACCCTGCCCTGTTCCCATTGATGGCCGCTTCTGCCATTCAAAGGCTTACCCC